GCACGGCGTAGCTTAATTTTCTTCTTCTTACCAAAAATCTTACCATCTGAACCAACCAATAATTTACCTTGCAAGTGTAATCCATGATGCTTACTCTTCACTCCCCATGTTCTATATCGAAGCCGAGTTAGTAATGCCACCTTCAGTTCTGCAGTTGCATTGGATATGGAATTGCGAATAGCTTTCCAAACTCGTGGGTTGACATCCACAGAATCAGTCACTTCACGGGTTTTACCTCTTCCTTGACGAAAAGAAGGTATGGTTTTCTCCCCAACAGTATCTGACCCATAATACAATCTCAAAATGGTGTCATCATAGTAAATACTAGAGTCTTTGTTGGAATTTTTAATTTCAAGGACGTATAAGATAGAGCCATTTTGACCCCCATTGTCTATATCGGACTTTGGGATGGTGATATCCACAATGGTATACTCAGGAGATTCTGGACGTAAGGCCAACCATAGAACGAGGGCTAGGAGACCCAAGAGGCCGAAGAATTGTAGAACCCATAAGTAGAAATTCTTTGTCTCGCACATTTTTTAAGACTGAACATAAAATATTGACTTCTGATTGTTTAAATGAATTTGGTTGCACTAATTGAGAAGGAGAAGGGAGAAAAGACGTGAATTATGCAGTAAGAAAGGAGCAAAAGTGGGAATATCAAAGGGTGTTTGGTTGTCATGTAAGTTACAAGAGGATATGTTCTTTTCTTCTAGAGTGAGTTGAATGGGGTATCAGCCTTTGCTGTTGGAGCAGAAAGTAATATGTGGGAAACTAAAGCGTTAGGTTAATGTTTGTGAAACTTTCATACATTTGATTCCCCACGAGTTGATCCTTGGAAGAGAAGGAACATGATTCTTTACTTGTGTAGGATGTAATTGCTTTAATGCTTATCTGGAGTTAGTTTTCCTTTGGGAGACTAACCTGCAACCAAAGTTTTGCAACCTAGGTTAATTCCACTTTCCAGCAGAGAAGCCAAAAATAAAATGATAGAATGCGACGGTTTTTCTGGTGTATAGAGAAAGAATGGCACGATCATATAGTGCAACCCAATTAATAAACATCACCTGAATTGGGGTTTGATCATGATTATGGTTTAATGTCTAAGATTACTATCTTGATTTCCCCTCAGTTATCCCATATTAAATCATATCTATATTCCGATTTAATCGGGTTTTGGATCCATATTATGGTCTGGATCCGACATTGTTTGTTCAATGAAACAGAATCTGTGCCTGGGGCTAGTAGTTGCGAATGGTTAGCAATCATCCCAACTTCACAACCCCAATCAGTCGACCCCCACACAATCACCATTTGTAGAAACCAGACAAGGATTGAGAGTTGAGATTCCGAGATTCCGAGATTGTGCAGGATCAGATTCATGTGAACACTACTGTAGGACTATGCAGGAGGCCATGATTTGGAAAAAGAAGCTCAACTGTAACTTTTTTCTGTCCGAAAGATTAACATTAACATTTAAAAATGTTCTTTCCATTTGCATCGGAGGAAACATGGAAAGCATATATTGAAAATGTGGGTCAGGTCAGTTGGCCAGGGCATTGGACCGTCCTTGCACTCAAGTTCGAGTTGCCATGCATGCAGGTTAGATTAATTTATAGTAGTTTAGACTATCGTTTGTAAATAAAAGCTTAAAAGCATTTCCTAGCTCAACCCGATAGAAAGTTAAACTTTTGTTTATCATAATACACAGATAGCAATGCCCACCTATTATAGTCAGCCATGATCACACTAAAATTCCCCAATCAATTTAGAAAGATTATACAACAAATGAAGTAAATCACAGCTCTTGTGGTCAGTAAGCAAATCCAAAGCCAATAACCCCCAAAAGCATACGAAAATATAAACACAAGTTAATGTAAAAATAGAAGTTCCCCAATCTCAGTTGAAATTGACAGGGCATCTCCTACTTTCAGAAGTGTGAATGTGAAACGAACATGAATAAAGAACCTTAGCCTGATGCTTCTTAACATTATTTTATCAGCTGTGAATATTTTAAACATATAAGTATGAAGTAAATTCGATTCATTCTTTAATCCTTATAAAATATAGTAAAAGTAAAAGTTCTGGAATTCTGGAGGGATTTTAGAGTGGGTTTGCTCCAGGTCTATTGGCTCTTAGTTTATTTTAATAAAGCATAAGCCAAAAACGTATTCAACCTTTTAATACTGATCCCTTGCATGAGTTTGCAATGTACATTATCATCTGCAGAGAGTCTAGAGATCATATACAAATTGTCGAATTGTATATTCTGCTACAGTAATAGTAATAATC